GCATTACATCTGAGTCCTCAGCGGTGATAACGCATCAACATTTTGATTCTTATTCGAGGATAAATGTAGATGTCTATGGGTTACAACATTCACTTACCATCAGGTGGACTGTATATTCGTTTGTCACCCTTATTCTATAAAAAAAATATTTACCAAAGTAATATTAGACATTAAGCATACTTGTAATTATAATAATAATTTTAGACAGAAATATGTACGTTACCAAGAGAGCGGTTTAAGTATAAGGAAGTGAAATCATGTGACATAGAAAAAAATAATTGATAAATTGCACCATAAAAAGGACAAGATTTAGACGGAATTGGGGTATAAGATTTAGAGCCGGTAAAGAAGAAAAATATTGGCCTATTTTGTTAACAAGTGCTTGTCAAAAGGTGTTTATTCCGATTTATTAAAGAAGTCATTTAGATTTCAGTAATTACCAGCCAATTGCCGATTTATCATCTGTAAATAAGATTGTTGAAAAGGTGGTTGTAGACTAAATAACAAAATTTTGGAAAAGCACAGTATAGTATCAGAGGCACAACAAGGATTTAGAACAAATCGTAATACAGTTTCCGCACTTAAACAAGATAAGATGATAGAATGAATAAATATTTAAATGATGGAAAACAGGTTATGTTGCTGTTTATTAATTATAAAAAAGGCATTGACACCTTGGTCCATAATATGCTATTACAAGCGATGATTGAGTGTGGAATCAGGAGCCCCACAAGTGACTTTTTATTGTAGCTATTTATTTAATAGGACGCTTCGTACTGTAGTGGACGGCATTGTGGTATAGTATTAGCTTGGATGTATTCACTCGTTCTGTATACAGTCCTGTGGGTTATATTATACATGTAAATAGTGTATGTATTGTGATAAAAAATTGTCAAGTATATATGTCTGTAGATAACACGTGCTTGCTATTTGCCTCTAAAGACACAAAAGATTGCAAAATAATATTGCAAAGTGACTTTGAGAATATAATTAAATGGGATTATGATAGTGGCATAATCCACAATTTTAATAAAACAAAATGATAACGCAAAAGACCCAATTGAATGAGATAGCTGTTGGGCCATTGTTTTGAGTGCTTACATGATAATAAAAGTAATTGTAAATGTAAAAAAAAATTATCGATAAATTTAAATATTTAGGGCTGATAATAATTAATGAAAGCTTTAATTGGAAACCTCAAATATCTGATGTGTATACAAGGCTCTCAGCGATACCAGGTAAATTTTATTATACAAATTTGTGTGTAAAAATTGTTCTAAAATATCTAGTAAATGGGAAATTTAAGGAAAATTGTAAAAAAGATTGTAATAATTTATTCTCTATTTGTAAAAATTTACTGGTAGTTCACAAAGTTAACGTGTTACTAGTTAGAAAACAATAATAAAAATGTTTATACAGAAAAGTGGTTAATACATATAAAATTGTGGAAAAGTGAGGATATGAGGCATCCCATCTTAGTCCTCAAGGGTGACAAAGCATCTGTATTTTGATTCTAAATTAAGGTTAAATGTAGATGTCTATGGGCCACAGTATCCACTTACCTTGGGGTGGACTTTGTGTTTTTTGTCATCTTTTTACTTTAAAAGTAGTACAATAGGCAGTGAATTTTTTTAATACACCTCGTTGGGTTCTGGAATCAACGCGGTGGGCGTGACTCCTGATAAGACGTTTGACTAAGAACCTTAATCACTCTCTCAAAACAAAGTAGTTGACGACTAAAATTACAGTCCCCAGTGAATGGTCCCAGTCGAAACGTCAATCATGAACATGATATCTTCTTATTTCTTTACTTATAGGGTAGACACGGGTGAAATAAAACGGCAATTATTCGTAACTGCCCCTTGGAAATGTGATACTGAAGTTTCACTACTTCCACTACTTTTAATTTAGTTTTCCTAATTTTTTTTTCTTGATTTAGAACTGAAGACTGTAACTGGTCCCGAAAAAAATGAAGCTACGATGTCTTCAGCGTGGGCTTTCTGCCCAGCAAGTTTCGGATCTCGGGGTCCCTTTATCCGAGTATTCTTCACGGCCCACTAAAATGGGCCGATCCTGGGCGCCGTTGGTATTAAAGGCGATGTCAATTTGATAGCGGCTTTTGCCGCAGTCAGGTAAATCAGAAGCAAAAGAGGTTATCTAATTTTTGAGTTTAATGGTTGTAATAATGTAGGTTATCTAATGGTTGTCAGAGTTGGCCTTTCTGTGGTATTGTGGATTTTACTCGACTCACTAATCTATGTAGTGAGGAGTTCTCACTACATAGGATAGGGTCACCTGTTCGGGGGCCGTGTTTGTAGCGGCGCAATGTCGTTGAGGTGTTAGTGTGGCCCGTTATCAGCACGGTCAAACATGCCGCCCGCCAGCCGGACCATAAAAAAGGCTTTCAATTTTCAGGTTGGCCGCTATAACGTCATTCCGTACATAGCGACCCGCACCCACACACACTCATCCAGCCAATGGTGGCAAAAGGTCCAGCAGACGTTGCTTCCTGGCAGTGGCAATGTGGACTCTTCTGGACGAAGTGAAATAGGCGCTATCAGCCGCAAATAGTGCCAGCTCTACGTCTTCCTACCATTCGCACAGGAGTCCTGCCAGGGTGGGGATGTCATTGGTGTAAGCCGCGTACAGGACTGGAGATAAACAGCTGCCCTATAGTACGCCGGCTTTTATGGGTATTATTGCGGATTTGGTGTCCTTTACACAGACGTAGAACCTCCTATCTGCGTATAATGATGCCACTAGCCGCAACATAGCAGGAGGGATACTGGTCTGATCTTCTAACTTGTAGAGTAATCCAGCGTGCCACACCCTGTCGAACGTCTTCCCTATATCGAGAAAGACGCCCCACGATGTGCGGCCGTGGTTGTGCTCGACTGGTGCAGTGCAGAAAGGTGCAGCACTCTGGTCAGCTGTGTTGCTGTTGAGTGATCCCTTCTGAATTCGTGCTGCTCCGCCCGAAGTTGCATGCAAGGTCGGAGGCGTCTTAGCATCAATCTTTCAAGCAGTTTAGATGTGTATGTTTATTTATTATATACTATAATATATATATGACTGCCTTGTTGGTCTAGTGGTTGTAGTAGTGCGACTGCTGATCGGGCCAAAAAAATTGTTATTGAGTTTTTCCGCCAATAAATTCTCTGTAGTTGTCCGGAGTCAGGAAGTTGGTGGTATCTCAACCCCGTGCCTCGGAAAGCATATAAAGCCGTTGGTCCTGCGCTTGATCTCTCTCCGGTCGTATCGGTTTACCGTCTCATCGGGTTATGAGAGTGAGGGAATAGGGAGTGCACCTGTGCTTGCGCATACACTTGGGCACTGTAATCCTGTCCTGCGCCGATGGCTAGCCTCCATTGAGGCAGGTCGCCGTGGCTGTTATTCGGCCTTATCGGTCTGGATTCTGGTCATTATTATTATTATTATTTATGTATATTTATTTCTTATATCTATTTATCTACGCACTACACGGCAAACGTCCCGATACCCCATCCACACCATCTTGATGCTTGGCGGTCCACCACTAGTCACTGCTGACCACGGCATGACTTCGCCTTTGTGATTACCTTTGGCACCAGTATATAATATAGCTATTCTGTAAACAGTTTCTTCTGGTCATAAACTTTAAAACGTTAAATACATTTTTATAATACAAATTCCGTCAATATTTTCATCTATCTTATAAAATGAAAATTGAAAAAAAAAATGAAAATGAAAATTCAAGAATAAAAACTAAAGTTTGCTTAAAGTTTTGTTTAATTATCTTTTTAAAACAGATCTTTAAACCAAACTGTAAGCAAAATTTCAACTTTAATATTTCCATTCTTTTGCTATTATATAACTAAGAAAGAACTTCATTGACATTTCAATCATATTATTCTCTTACGAAATTTAACCAAAACATTAAAACCTTTAATAAAAAAATATTATATAATTAATATTGTTACGAGCTTAGGGTTCGTGACAATAAAACCGCCGATTGAGTTCTTTAATTGACAATTTAATTACCGTACACCAATTAAAACTTAAAAAACACTAATAATTAATCACACTTAACACTTTAGTTCACTTTATTTCGCTCCGAAAGCTTCGCTTGGATCACCAATTCAATACTGCCACGGTCGCGCTTCTAACCGATTTTATATAGGACTGTGGCGGCGCTGTAGTCGCGCCGCAAGCGAAACACACTGAAGCCTAAATCACGCTATCAACATTCCGAATCATACAGTATTTATAGAACATCTCCGTACTATCACACGGAGTGTTGGCCGCTCTCCGGGGAGCCTATTTTTATGGCCAAAGAAACGAAAGAACCGGAGCCCATAGTCCCTACGGAACCAGCCATCAACAAGGAGAAAATCACGCATAGTGGTCGAAGAGTAAGATTTACGGATTACTATCGACCGTAGTTACGGTCTGGCCAGGGGGAATATGTGGCGTAACTCGCTTCACTTAGACCTACGCAAATCCGCTACGCGCATGAAGATTAAGCTTATATCACGCCACTACCGGGGAACAATACGAGTCATCGATAAGATAAGACCCATCACCTTCATCGAGGCGCGAGAAAGTGCGACGTTCATTCCGCCTGCAACCGGCATAGCTACAGGACGCGACGCGCTACTTATATCAATTAACTTACATTGTTCTCGTAGTTAATTTCATCTTGTAAATTTGTTTGTAGTAAAAGTTGTTTGTTACATAGAAATAACATTACATATTCGAGTCAGTTAATTCTTATTCCTATCCTTAATAATAATAATAATAATAAAAAGTGGCGTAGGGAATTGACGACCCCATCACCCGCTGACGTAACAGTTAAGTGACAAAACTGCTACGTCAACGCAGTCAGTCAGCGCCTTGCGAGAGGTGTGAGCGCCGTGCCTCGGCAGAATTCAGGGTGCAAAGGCCCGTTTGTGCTTATGGCCGTCCACGATACGGTGCCGGGCCTGGGCGTCTCCCGTTAACGGACGCCCAAATTATGGATGATGGAAAAAACTAAAGTGCGCAAAGGGCCGCTGCCTGGAGGTCGCCAGGGCGCGTCTGGAGCTGGCGCTGGACGCGACAGCATGCGGGCCGCCAGCCGAGCGCGAGGTGTTGCAAGACCACCTAGCAGCCCCCCGCATCCATCATTCCCACCAGAAGGCTTGGTGTCGGCTGGGTCTTCTCGGACTCAGCAAGCGGCACCCGCCGCTGGTGGAGCACGTCGCATGCGTTGGTCACAATTAATGAACGCAAACGCACTGCGGGCGTACTTTAGGGCAAAAGGGGAAGAAACTGGATGTTTGGCGTATCGGGCTCGGATGCATCGCTTTTTTGCAGAGCTGGAGCCATCTCTATCCGTCACTGAGCAAAACCTGGCAGACCGAGTTCGGTATATCCTGCGCTCCAACATATTTGATGACGCCGAACTCGAACGACTACGACGTGAGGCTATTCCTTCATCGAATGGAAATGCTACGGCTGGGAATGCGGCGCCACTTGATGTGCAACAAACTGCATATGTGGATGCTGCCGCCAAAATCCATTTGTGGCTAATTCAGACGATGATGGACTCCCACGAACTAGAGAAAATGAAAAGCATATTGGAAGAGTCGATGATGGAAACGCGCAGCATGCCTCTCGAAAATCGACCGCGACTTCCCCGCATACCCCTTAGCAAGCGAAATCGGGCTGTCGTGCGGGCTCTTAACCCAATGCTGGTGACCTATTTGGAAGCCAGCCGGGACCTTTGCGAGACGAACTCAATTCTTTTTGGCGCCGCACTGGCAGTATGCCGTATTATTGGCGCCAAACTTCCGGTGGCTGGACGTGCTACTCAAAAAAGTAGCGCCATCCCAGCTTGGAGAAAAAGAATTGAGGACCGTATCGCAAAGGCAAGGGCCCTTATCAGCAGACTGACAAGCTTCAGGTCAGGTAATAATAGACCGAGAGTTGTGCGCACCGTTAGAATGGCGTTTGCTGGGACAAATATTAGTTTGTCCCAGCCGGATATCACACAGAAACTAACGGAGCGCATAGATGACCTAAAGCAAAAAATCGCTGCTTTAGGGAAGCGGATTCGACGATTTAGCGAGAGGTAAAGGCTCTGGTTCAACCAGAATCGTCTCTTCCAGAGTGATCAAAAGAGGCTATATAAATCATTGGAGCGTTCAGAGGTATGTGGAGCGGGCCCAGGACCGGATCAGGCTGACACTGTCGCATTTTGGCGTGGCCTGTGGTCAGCCCGTAAACCACAGCGAGGGCCATTGGATGGAAGTTGTGGCGAGCCAGAGTGCAAGTGTAACGCCTATGGACCCGTCACCATAACGCCTGAAGACGTGGCTGAGGCGGTCCGTAGGGCCCCGAACTGGAAAAGTCCGGGGCTCGACGGGCTGCATCATTACTGGCTGAAGGGGTTCGTAGTGTGTCACGCTGTGCTCGCTCGACAGTTACAAGAGGCTCTCGATCAGAAGTCGCTCCCGAGCCTCTTCACTACTGGGATCACTCATTTGGTTCCTAAAGATCAGGATACCACAGACCCGAGCAAATACCGCCCCATCACGTGTCTACCCACCATATATAAGACACTGAAATCCATTTTGAGCGCGAAAATCACTCGTCACCAGGAGCAAAATCAGGTGATGTCACGCGCTCAGAATGGATGTCGGGGTGGTGGTCGTGGAACCAAGGAACCACTCCTCACTGACGCGGTCATTGGCAAAGTGGTGAAACGCAACCGTCGGAATTTCTCCGCCGCCTGGATAGACTACAGAAAGGCATTCGACTCGGTACCTCATAGATGGCTAAAGAGAGTCCTCCAGCTGTACAAAATTGACTGTACAGTTGGAGACTTCCTCGAGCAGTGTATGGGGCAATGCACGATCCTTTGCTATCTGGGCGAGCGGATGATGGCTGCGGAGAACCACATAAGGATAAGAAGTGGTATCTTCCAGGGCGATTGTCTGAGTCCAATCTGGTTTTGCCTCTCACTGAACCCTCTCAGTACTTTACTAGAGGGCTCCGGGAGGGGATTTCAGCTTCGAAAATGAGGTACAAAAGTGATCCACCTTTTTATATGGATGACGTTAAGTTATTCGCCTCCAGTCCTCCATCTTATGAAATAGCTAAACATCACTGGTGAATTTAGCAATTCTATTGGAATGGAGCTGGGAACGGATAAACATGCGGTCCTCCATGTTGAAAGGGGAAGGGTTGCTAACTCTGAGGGCATAGACTTATATATGCTCGTCAACTAAAGGACCTTTTCCGAGGCCGAAACATACCGATACCTAGGTATGTCACAGAACATCGGTATCGATGAGACTGGTATGAAACAGTCAGTTTGCGACGTGTTTTATGCACGCTTGACCCAAGTGCTTAACAGCCTTTTGTCCGGTGTGAATAAGACACACGCATATAACGGTTGGGTCATGCCTGTCCTCATGTATACCTTTGGCATACTCAGGTGGACCCAGACTGAACTTAACGCCCTGGATAGAAAAGTCCGCACTACTATGACGTCCCATAGGATGCATCATCCGAGATCGTCGGTAATGAGGCTGTACTTGCCGCGAAAGTATGGTGGGCGAGGTATTCTGAGCGCGCTCACCATGCATAATCGCGAAATGTGCAGCCTCCGTGATTACTTCCTGGCGAGAACGGATGATCCATTCTATGGTGACGTCATTTCTAGTGATAAAGGGCTAATCCCTCTATCCTTAGCAACACAACGAGCAATGGCAGGATCCGGCAGTGCTTAGCATTTTCGACCGGGAGACCGTATGGAAGGAGAAGGAGCTCCACGGGAGGTACTACAGGGCTCTACGTGAGCCCTTCGTAGATACAGTCGCCTCCCTCAACTGGCTACGTTTCGGTGACCTCTTCGAGGAAACCGAGGGTTTTGTCTGTGCAATACAGGATCAGGTTATTGAGACCAACAACTATCGGAGATACATCCTAAAGGATGGCAACATCGACATTTGTTGAGCTTGTCGCCATCCCGGTGAGCCACTTAGGCATGTCATCTCCGGTTGTTCGGCGCTTTCTAACTCTGAGTACTTGCACAGGCACAACCTAGTAGCCAGAATTCTACACCAGGAGCTCGCTCTGAATTACGATCTCATGGATCGGAAAGTGCCGTATTATAAGTGCCTGCTGGAAGCCATGCTCGAAAATGACCGCGCCAGGCTCTTCTGGGACCGGACCATCATCACGGACAGGACTATTCTTGCGAATAAGCCTGATATTGTGCTGATGGATCGGGCACAGTCAAGGATATTTTTGGTTGACATTACCATTCCGTATGGCGAGAACCTCGTGAAAGCCGAAACAGACAAGCAATCAAAATATCTGGACCTGGCTCACGAGGTGACCGACATGTGGGGTGGTCTGCCGACCGAAATTATTCCTATAGTCGTCTCTGCGAATGGGCTAATCCCAGTCAGCCTCACCACAAAGAAGCTGGCTTGCAAGTATAACCGCTCAGATAAATGAATAAGTGCACTAAATTTCTCACAAATTGCTCGTTTCAAATCCGCATTTGCTCACACTATTAATGAATTATTTTATTAGTTATTAATAATTAAAAATACAAAATATTTTTCCCTATTATACTTAAAACCAATGAACTTTTCTAAAAACGAATAAATACCATTAATTGCTCAAGAAATGCTTAATTCAAAACCGTATTTGATCACACTATTAATTCATTATTTAATTAAAAATTAATAATTAAAGGTACAAATTTTTTTTCCATAACCGATCAGAATATTGAATAGGTGCACAAAATTGCTCACTAATTCCTCATTTAAAATCTGCAATTGCTGACAATATCTATCAATTATTTTATTAGTTATTAATAATTAAAAATACAAAATTGTTATTGCCTTAAAACCAAAGAACTTTTTTAAAAATGAATAAGTATACCTAATTGCTCACAAAATGCCTAACCGTAATACGCAATTGCTCAAACTATTTACTAATTATTTAATTAGTAATTAATAATTAAAAGTACAAAATTTTTTATTCCTTAACCGATCAGAATATTGAATAGGTGCACAAAATTGCTCACTAATTGTTCATTTCAAATCTGGATTTGCTCACAATATTTATCAATTATTTTAATAATTATTAATAATTAAAAATACAAAATTGTTATTTCCAAAAAACCAAAGAACTTTTTCAAAAATGAATAAGTACTCCTAATTGCTCACAAAATGTGTTATTAATAATTAAAAATACAAAATTGTTATTGCCTCAAAATCAAAGAACTTTTTTAAAAATGAATAAGTACTCCTAATTGCTCACAAAATGCCTAACAGTAATAATTATTTACTAATTATTTAATTAGTAATTAATAAATAAATGTAAAAAAAATATTTTCCTTAACCGATCATAATATTGAATAGGTGCAAAAAATTGCTCACTTATTGCTCATTTCAAATCCGCAATCGCTGGCACTATCAATGAATGATTTAATTAATTATTAATAATTAAAAATACAAAATTCTTTCTGCCTATTATCGTTAGAACTTAGAAATAAGTTTTCTTAATTGCTTACAATTAGTTCAATTCAAAACCGCAATGGCTTACACTATTACTTAATTATTGGATTAGTTATTAATACTTTAAAGTACAAAATTATTTTTGCCTAATGCCCGTAAGCTAATGCACTTTTATTAATTTTCTTTCTAATAAAGTTCTTACCGAGTGCTCTTTTAATTTTTTTTAATGTTATATCTTATATTTATCGTTTATTAAATTTATTATTACATTTTAAATGATGACGTCATAGGCGGCAAGAAGTATGTCACTTGTGCGCATGTGATTGATTCAACTCGTTACTCATGTGCAACTGGCAAAATTTAATATTTTTGTATAACCTGTAAGTCATTGTTTGTTCATTTTTTATTTATATTTACTTTTAATTATTAATTACTAATTAAATATTTAGTAAATAGTTTGAGCAATTGCGTATTATGGTTAGGCATTTTGTGAGCAATTAGGAGTACTTATTCATTTTTGAAAAAGTTCTTTGGTTTTTTGGAAATAACAATTTTGTATTTTTAATTATTTATAACTAATAAAATAATTGATAAATATTGTGAGCAATTGCAGATTTGAAATGAGCAATTAGTGAGCAATTTTGTGCACCTAATAAATATTATTATCGGTTAAGGAAAAAAAATGTACTTTTAATTATTAATTACTTATTAAATATTTAGTAAATAGTTTAAGCAATTGCGTATTACGGTTAGGCATTTTGTGAGCAATTAGGAGTACTTATTCATTTTTGAAAATGTTCTTTGGTTTTTTGGAAATAACAATTTTGTATTTTTAATTATTAATAACTAATAAAATAATTGATAAATATTGTGAGCAATTGCAGATTTGAAATGAAAAATTAGTGAGCAATTTTGTGCACCTATTCAATATTACAATCGGTTAAGGAATATAAAATTTTGTACTTTTAATTATTAATTACTAATTAAATAATTAGTAAATAGTTTGAGCAATTGCGTATTACGGTTAGGAATTTTGTGAGCAATTAGGTATACTTATTCATTTTTAAAAAAGTTCTTTGGTTTTTTGGAAATAACAATTTTGTATTTTTATATAATTAATAACTAATAAAATAATAGTAAGTGGATGCTGTGGCCCATACACATCTACATGTATCTTCGATTACGAATCAAAATGCAGATGCGTTGTCACCCGTGAGGACTAAGATAGAATGCCTCGTTTCCAGTAATTTCAATTCATCATATTCATCATATATATATATAAGAGCCGTGGTAGCTCAGATGGTTAACGCTCGCTGTAAATATAACAGAACGCGAGTAACCCGGGTTCGAGCCCCGCCGGCACCAATGAAATTGTTAATTGCAATTTTAAGTGCTGATTTACCACGTGCTCGGCGGTGAAGGAAAACATCGTGAGGAAACCTGCATGTCTGAGGAATAAGAAAAAAAAATATTTCGAAGACATGTGAAGTTCGCCAACACGCATTGGGGCAGCGCGGCGGACACTTCCTTGCCCTAAAACCCCCTCAGAAATGAGGGAAGGCCTGTGCCCAGCAGTGGGACGTATATAGGCTGTAACTTTACTTTACTTTTACTTTAATAAAATAATTGATAGATATTGTCAGCAATTGCAGATTTCAAATGAGCAATTAGTGAGCAATTTTGTGCACCTATTCAATATTCTGATCGGTTATGGAAAAAAAAATTGTACTTTTAATTATTAATTTTTAATTAAATAATGAATTAATAGTGTGATCAAATACGGTTTTGAATTAAACAATTCTTGAGCAATTAATGGTATTTATTCGTTTTTAGAAAAGTTCATTGGTTTTAAGTAGAATAGGGAAAGAATATTTTGTATTTTTAATTATTAATAACTAATAAAATAATTCATTAATAGTGTGAGCAAATGCGGATTTGAATTGAGCAATTAGTGAGCAATTTAGTGCACTTATTCATTTATCTGAGCGGTTATACTTCCAAGCCAGCTTCTTTGTGGTGTCAGCCTCTCGGGTCATCTTAGGCGACTGGGACTCCGTGACGGACCGCTCCGAGCTCACCTGCAGAAGGCGGTGCTCCTCGATACCACCCGCATCGTACGCCGGTTTCTTTCCCTTTCCTCCTAACCCTCGGCCGTTTGCTCTACCCTGCCGAGGGCTTTCATCTGGTTGGACTTTTATTTATTTATGTATTTTTGTATTTATTTTATTTTAATTATATTTATGTATAATATATATATATATATATATATATATATATATTTAAATATTTGCTCGGGTCTGTGGTATCCTGGTCTTTAGGAACCAAATGAGTGATCCCAGTAGTGAAGAGGCTCGGGAGCGACTTCTGGTTGAGAGCCTCTTGGAACTGTCGGGAGAGCACAGTTTGACACACCACAAACCCCTTCAGCCAGTAGTGATGCAGCCCGTCGAGTTCCAGACTTTTCAAGTTCGGGGCCCTACGGACTGCCTCAGCTACGTCATCCGGCGTTATAATGACGGGGTCTATGGGCGTTATACTCGCTCACTTACTCGCCACAACTTCCGTCCAAGAGCCCTCGCTGTGGTTTACGGGCTCTGACCACAGGCCGCGCTAGAATGTTACATTGTCAGCCTGATTCGCTGCTAGGCCCGTTCCACTTGCCATTGGTCGCTCCAATGATTCATAGAGCCTCTTCTGATCACTCTGGAAGAGACGATTCTAGTTGAACCGAGTCAACCTCTCGGTATATCGCCGAATCCACTTTCCCCAAGCAGCGATTCTCTGCTTCAGATCATCTATGCGCTCCGTCAGTTTTTGCATTATATCCGGCTGGGAAAAACTGACATTTGTCCCAGCAAATGCCATCCTGACGGTGCGCACAATTCTTGGCCTGTTATTGCCTGATCTGAAGCATATCAGTCTGCCGATGAGATCTCTAGCCTTTGCTATACGCTCATCAATAATTTTTCTCCATGCTGGGATAACGCTACTTTGGCCAGTAGCGCGTCCAGCCGTCGAAACCTTGGCGCCTATGATACGGCAGACTGCCAGCGCGGCGCCAAAAAGAATTGAGTCCGTATCGCAAAGGTCCCGACTGGCTTCCAAATAGATCACCGGCATTGGGTTCAGAGCCCTCACGACAGCCCGATTCCGCTTGCTTAGGGCTATGCGGGGAAGTTGCGGTCGATTTTATAGAGGCGTACTGCGCGTTTCCATAATCGCCTCTTCCAATGTACTCCTCATTTGCTCTATTTCTAGTTCCTGGGCGAATGTTCCATCATCATTTGAATCAGCCACTACTGGGGTATTCACGGCGGTATCCACGTGTGCGGGTTGTACTGCAACTTATGGCAGCGCATCCTCAGCCGTAGCATTTTCATTTGGTGTGGGAACCTCACGTCGTAGCCGTCCGAGTTCGGCGCCATCAAATATATTTAGGCGCAAGATATACCGAACTCGGTCTGCCAGGTTTTGCTAGGTGACGGTTACAGATACGGTGATGTCGCGCGCTCAAAATGGATGTCGGGGCAGTGGTCGTGGAACCAAGGAATCACTTCTCATTGACGCGGTCATTGGCAAAGTGGTGAAACGCAACCGTCGGAACTTATCCGCCGCCTGGATAGACTACAGAAAGGCATTCGACTCGGTGCCCCATACATGGCTAAAGAGAGTCCTCCAGCTGTACAAGATTGACTGTACAGTCGGAGACGTCCTCGATCAGTATATGGGGCAGTGGAGTACGATCCTTTGCTATCTGGGCGAGCGGATGATGGCTGCGGAGAACCACATAAGGATAAAAAGGGTTTATTCCAGGGCGATTGTCTGAGTCCAATCTAGTTCTGCCTCTCTTTGAACCCTCTCAGTACTTTAATGGAGGGCTCCGGGAGGAGTTTTCAGCTTCGGAAAGGAGGTACAAAAGTGACCTACCTTTTTATATGGATGACCTCAAGTTATTCGCCTCCAGTGTGTGTGTCACAGAACATCGGTATCGATGAGGCTGGTATGAAACAGTCAGTTTGCGACGTGTTTTATGCACGCTTGACCAAAATGCTCAACAGCCTTTTATCTGGTGTGCATAAGATACACGCATATAACGGTTGGGTCATGCCTGTCCTCATGTATACCTTTGGCATACTCAGGTGGACCCAGACTGAACTTAACGCCCTGGATAGAAAAGTCCGCACTACTATGACGTCCTATAGGATGCATCATCCGAGATCGTCGATAATGAGGCTGTACTTGCCGCAAAAGCATGGTGGGCGTGGCTTTTTGAGCGCCATGCATAAACGCGAAGTGTGCAGCCTCCGTAAATACTTCCTGGTGAGATCGGATGATCCATTCTATAAGGACGTCATTTTTTGTGATAAAGGACTTACCCCTCTATCCTAAGCCAACGAGCAATGGCAAGACGCGGCAGTGCAGTGCATATCCGACCGCGAGACCGTATGGAGGGAGAAGGAGCTCCACGGGAGGTTCTACAAGGCTCTACATGAGCCTTTCGTAGACGCAGTAGCCTCCCTCCACTGGCTACGCTTTCAGATCAGGTTATTAAGACCAACAATTATCGGAGATAAATCCAAAAGGATGGCACCGTCGACATCTATTGAGCTTGTCGCCATCCTGGTGAGTCACTTAGGCATGTCATCTCCGGTTGTTCGGCGCTTTCTAACTCTGAGTACTTGCACAGGCACAACCTAGTAGCCGGAATTCCTCACTAGGAGCTCGCTCTGAAATACGGTCTCGTGGACCGGAAATTGCTGTATTACAAGTACTTGCCGGAAGCCGTGCTCGAAAATGATCGCGCCAGGCTCTACTGGGACCGGGTCATCATCACAGACAGGACTATTCTTGCGAATAAGCCTGATATTGTGCTGATGGACCGGACACAGTCAAGGATATTTTTGGTCGACATTACCATTCCGTATGACGAGAACCTCGTGAAAGCCGAAACAGATAAACGAACAAAATATCTGGACCTGGCTCACGAGGTGACCGACATGTGGGGTGGTCTGCCGACTGAAATTATTCCTGTAGTCTTTCTGCAAACGGGCTAATCCCAGTCAGCCTTTCGCGTCATCTGAGGAGGCTGGGACTCCGCGACGGACTAGGACTAGATTTCGCTAGTGGGAAAGTTCTAGAATGATCTTGACGCTCCTATTTCTGCTACTTGATTGTAGACAGTGCTTATAGTCACCCGCCATATACCGGGCATTAGTTATGGCGCGCAACAATATTCTTATGAGACGGTTCGGACTTGCTTTTCTTTTCTGCTAATTACCTATACAAGTTTGCATACTGAAATTTGCACGACCCTCTGGATCCTATAGACGATCTTGCCATCCCTTTCTAATATTTATACTAATCCTTGTCCTACAAATATACCATTTCACTATAGCATTAAACTGTCTTATCTAACATAAACAAAAGTGCTTAAAGCGAATAGAATGTTCTCAATTCTTTATTTAAATTGTATTACATAGCCGATTACTATATAACAAATTAATCTAAGCTAATACAATACACCTTTCTTTACTTAGAAATTAGTATTTAATATAATTCATTTTTTCTAATACTCAATCTTTAAGAAACATTGAAATACTTAATAAGATGTTTATCTCGCGTCGCCAACAGGTGGCCTGGAAGCGATTTCTTCCGGACAACCTTATTACGCAAAGAATTGTTTACAGCGGATGTCTTGGAGGGAGGTGTAAATAAATTATTCAATAATGTTTAAAATATAATAATAATAAACACAAAAACACAGGATGATGACACGACCAAATGTGAAATACAAGAGTTTTTAGTAATAAGTTAGGAGTACATTTTTGAAGGAAGAAAAAGATTGAGCACGGCAAATATGTAGGAAGGAAGGAGTTCCACAAACGTACTCTGTAACAGAAAATAACTTATTAAAAAAAAGACGTGTGGCACTCGGGGACTGCCGCGGTAAAGCTATTGCATAGCATTTTGTATCAACTTATGCAATTATAATTATTTATTTATTTTATTTATGCAGTATTTCTTTTTACATACATACATAAACACTCACGCCTGTCACCCAGAGGGGTAGGCAGAGACTACGGACTTCCATTTGGCACGATCCTGACATACATCTTTCGCCTCCTTTACATCCATATATCTACGCATACATGCTCGTCGGTTAAGGGTACTTCTAACGTGGCCCATTTTCAAAATATCGCCAATTTGGTCGATAAACTTTTTCCTAGGGCGTCCCTTCCCGACTCGGCCATTCACATCTGCCATATAAATTTGCTTAGTCACTCTTTCCGCATTCATTCTTTCTACGTGACCAAACCACCGAAGCATTCCTTTCTTAATCCTGGTCACAACATCATCTTGCATACCACATTTATCTCTTATCACGCAATTTCTCACCCTGTCATTCAGATTACACCCTAGCATATTCCTTAAAGACCGCATTTCTACAGCATTTATTCTACTTTCGTGCTTCTTCTGCCACACCCAGCTTTCACTACCATACATTAAAGTAGGGACTAACACAGCATTATGAATTACCATACGTGCCTGTTTTGACAAATTCTGGTTCTTCATAATAGAGTGTAGTGCCCCATTCACTCTATTCCCTGCATTTACTCGTCGTTCTATATCCCTATCATATCTACCATCCCTGCTAAATACACATCCCAAATACACAAACTCATCCACTTGCTCAATCAACTCTCCTTCCATTCTTATTTCACATACCGTTTTGCTTTCTTCTCTTTCAAAAACCATCACTTTCGTCTTACTTGCGTTCACTTTCATTCCCCTTTCTTTTAATTCCCAGTTCATTAATGTAACCATCATTTGCAATTCTGCCGCCGATGACGCAAGTATGACTTGATCATCGGCATACAAAAGGCATTTGACGGTTAACTCGCCCATTCTTAACCCACATTCTTCATCTTTCAAAGTTTGCAAACACCGGTCCATAAATAGGTTGAACAGCCAAGGGGAAGCCACACAGCCCTGTCTGACACCTTTTTGGATGCCAAACCAGTCCGAGTAGACCCCATTGATCCTGACATAAGCACTAGAGTCCCTATAAAGAGACCTTAATGCCTGTATCAAACCAGCGCTCAACCCATATGGTTTCAGTGTTTGCCATAACACATTCCTGTCCACTCTGTCATAAGCCTTTTCCAAGTCCATGAACGCACAAAAAACTTTCTGGTTTTTGGCCAAAAACTTCTCCGCAATCATGCGCATGGAAAAGACTTGATCTGTACACCCCATTCCCTTTCTAAAACCCGCTTGCACATCCCAAATTTTTCCATCAGTTTCTTTCATAACTCTTTCAATTAACACCTTAGCATACAGTTTACCCACAATACTAAGCAAGCTGATACCGCAGTAGTTTTTGCAGTCCTGCTGTGACCCTTTTCCTTTATATATTGGTACTATAACTGCTTTACACCAGTCATCCGGTACCCGTTTTAATTCCCAACATAAATTAAACAAGGTGTACAGCAGGCCTGCCACCACTCCCTCTCCAGCCCTTAGCATCTCGAGTGATACTCTATCATATCCAGCTGCCTTACCTGTTTTCATGCTTTTCATTGCTTTCATTATTTCATCTACACTTATCTCCATACCCCTTTCCACTTCTTTCGGAATTTCTAGTTCATTTAATTCATACGACTCTTCACTCATAAACACGCTTTCAAAGTATTCCTACCATCTGTTTAAATTCGAAACTTCATCATTCAGAATACATCCATTCTCGTCTCTTATAGCATTAATTATAGGCTGTTTTGTATTTCCCCTGGCAGTTCTTACGAGTTTCCAGAACCTTTTATGTTAGCCTGGAAATTATCAGATATCCTTCTATCATTCTTATCCGTTCTTTCTTTCTTTTTCCTTTCAACAACTTCTTTTACTCTCTTATTTAGACGTCTAAATTCTGCCTTTTTTCTTTCAATCTCATCATTCATACCAGAAGAATTATCAGCTTTGGTTGCTAGTAAATCTAACCATGCTTTCTTCTTTGATTCAACTTCCACCCGTACCTCATCATCCCACCATAACGTATTACTTTTCCTTTCATTTGTTCTCTTACTTACACCGCATACTTCGGTGGCGGTATCCACCAAACCTTT